GTCCTCGACCTTCTGGAATGCTTCATCAGGGACGTTCATCTCAGTCTTTGATTTGAAAAATTTTATTTTTTGAGATCCTTCTTCTTTTGGATGATCTTATCCATAGGATATAAATCAAGAGGTCTTTGTGATATGCTGGGGGTAGTGGGGTCTACCGGCTTGTAGCAGTAGTGATTGATCTCACAGAGATGCTGTGCCAGCTGGTTTTTGTAACTTTCATCAAGAGGATAAGTCTCGAAGCTGCCCCAACAGTATACTTCATTTCTTGAACATAATTAATCTGCAGAGTTTAGGAAATATGGACGGTGGATGATGAAGATGGAAGTGTGACCTTTGAGAGTATCTTCAGTGAATCCTTTTTGCCCGTTAAACATCAAGGATCCTGTTGAGTTGTTGTCTCCATCATGGCAGTGGTGAGAACCATTCAAGCAGAGTCTAGAAATGGAAATCATCCATATAGGGATTTGTCAATATCTGGTAGGTTGTTTGGGTCTTAAGTGCAATAGGAATGGGGTATTAAACAGTATCGCACCATATGGTCCATAATGTGGGCTCATAAAATAGTTCAAATATTCCTCTAAAGGGAATAGCAGGGTTGGACAAAGAGGCTGAGACTATTTTGTATCTCATGGTCTCATGTGGAAAGTAGAAATAGTGAGTTTTAGCATAATGGAGAATATCGGCTAGTGTGGTTGGGTTTAGACCGGGTGGATAAACTTTGACAGTTTTGGCTTCGTTGGAGAGAGGTTTGACCATGAAGATGAGAGGAAGACTATAGGTGTCAACAATTAATTGGATGATCTTTTTGGGTCTGGACAAGAAGTCAGAGACTGTGTTTAGGTTTCCTTTAATGTGCTTAACAGTAAAATCATATCTGAAAAACCAGTTCATTAGCTGCAGAATCTAAGGATTAGGAGACATCTTATTCTTGAACTCTAAGATCTTTGGGAACGAAGAGTTGGTCATATGTACCTTGAAGTGATGTCCTCTGAGGTGAAAGTCAAACTTCTTTATTCAATTCTTGACGCCCAAGACTTCCTTGTATTTGGTGTGATAATGTTTCTCGGCATCTTTAAATTATCCACTTGCATGACCACAATATTACTTTCTTCCATTTGTTAGAAAAGGAGGTTGAGATCAAGAGGAGGGGTGAATTGATTTTTGAAAGATTTTCGCAAATTACAGATTATCTATTTCAAAGATTAAGAGTTCTGACCAATTCTTGAATCAAACAAAACAAATAATCAAAATAAAGGCAGCAGCAAAATTAAAGAGAGAAAAGTTTAGAGAGATACAACCAAGATTTATACTGGTTCACCCAATCCCAGGACTGCGTCCAGTTCTCAGCCAAATTCCAGCTGAGTTCCATTAGATTGAATGTTTTACAGATTATAACTCCAATCACACACCCAATCTACCACAAGAACCAAAATTCCAGTCCTTGCACCTAAACCTTCACCAAGAACCAACATCCAGTTCTTGAACTAACCTGCAGCCAAATTCCAGCCACTGAAACCAGTGCCCACACTTCCAGGCACCCACAATACAGTAATGAAATATAAAAGAAACAAAGAGAAGAAACTAGAACACTCAAACCCGAATTATGCTGCTCTGCAGAATAAGTTTCTTCACAAAAGAAATGCAGAAAATGCCTCAAGAAAGAACTTTGAAAAACTTCACAAAACTTGCGTGATTCTTTCTTGAAAGTAGCTCTTATGATTGCTTGATTGATTGCTCAAAGGTATATTTTAAAAGACTAAAGCAATCTTGTTTATATAGAAGATTGTTCAAACTGCTGATTTAATTAATCTGTTAAAATAATCTTTTAATCTGTTAAAAGTCTTGAATTAATCTGTTAAAACTTCTTTTAATATGTTAAAATGTTCTTGATCATTTTCCAAATTTGTTTTAACTGATGCGACATCGTTTCAATCGATTAAAACACTTTGTAAAAAGTCCCTTAAGTTGTTTTAATCGATTAATTCGCTTTTAATCGATTAAAATACTGCCAAATGTTTTCATAAAACTTTCTAAGTAATTTTAACTGATAACAATCTGTTTTAATCGATTAAAACACTTTGGAAAAAGTCTCTTAGTTGTTTTAATCGATTAATTCACATTTTAATCGATTAAAATTCTGCCAAATAGTTTCATAAAACTTTCTAAGTCATTTTAACTGATAACACATCGATTAAAATCCTGACAGAACTTCTTTCAAAACCTTTCAAGTGGTTTTAATCGATTAATTCGCATTTACATCGATGAAAATACTGATGAAACATCTTTCAAAACACTTCAAGTTATTTTAATCGATTATTTTGAGTTTGTATCGATTAAAATACTGTCAAAACACTTTTCAAAACATCTTAAGTCATTTTAATCGATTATTTCAATTCTACATCAGTTAAAATACTGACAGAAGGTTTTCAAAACTCCTTTAGTGAAAACAATAGATTAATTCGAAGATATATCAATTAAAACAGTCCTAGCATATGTTTTAAAAGATTTTAATCGATTATTTCGAAAACCTATCAGATAAAAACCTGTTATGTAAGTGTTAAGAACATTTTAACTGATAAAGCTCATATAATATTAGTTAAAACAATTACTTAAAAACCATTTAACCGATTACTTTGGTCTTTAACAGATTAAACACATTTAGAGGCATTTGCAAAATCTTTTAAACGATGAAACCTCATGCAGCAGAGAGATATGAATGATTATACCTATGTATAGATGCAGACTCACTAATCACTCTACCCTTTTATCCAAGTAACCTTTGAATTCACCAGAATAACCTTTGACTTCATTTTGACTCTATCAAATCAATAAGATCTTCGTTGAATCAAATGATTCAATAAGATCTTCATCACTTTCAGTCTCCCTCTATTTGATGAAGACAAACACCTCTTTGAATAATATCTCTACAGAAGAAGTCACTTGAATATACAAATTAGTGAGTATTCAAAAATTAATCATTTCTCCCCCTATATTACTACTCCCCCTAAAATAGTGAGTACAAAAACAATCTTTATCAAAAACAATTATAACAATCATTTCTCCCCCTTTGACTTCATCAAAAATAGAGAATAGAGGAGAAAAACAAACAATATGCATGACATGTAACAAAATTTATTTTGAAACCAGTATTATAAGAAATCATGATACCATCTAGATGTATTACCCATTTAAAGTCCAATTAAAGTTGATTCAAACTTATCTTCATTAACATGTTTGTAATGAATACAATAGACACGTGTAAAGATAAGGGAACCATGCTTTAGTAGCATGTTACAAGAACAACCATTAACTAAAGCCTTTAATTTTTTTCCAGAGTAATAATCGATTAAAAACAAGGCATAATCGATTAAATTGTTATTGTTACTGATTTTAATTGATACAAATAATGTTTTAATCGATTAAAATAGTAATGAAAGTTGAAATATAAAAACTTAAGTTCATTTAATCGATTAAATCGACATTTAATCGATTAAAATTATATGAAAAGGTTTTGTAAAGTTCATTTAATCGATTAAAGCTCGTTTATATCAATTAAAACAACCAGATTTAGAAACTAAGTGATGTTTGATGCATCTAAAATGCCTAATTCATTTTGAATTTTAATAAGAATGGTTATTATAAGATGTTTAGTAACAAAGTCAACTAATTTTATTAAGTTTTAACCAAAAGATAGAGTAAAATCAGAGTAAGGCATCTTATCAAGTGATTTTAATTGATGTAAATCAATTTTAGTTGATACAGATTCATGATTTATGATTTTTAATCGGTTAATTTGTGAATTAATCGATTAAAACAATACGAATTTCCTATATAAATGATTCTTTAAATGAATTTAATCGATTAAACTGTTTTTGTATTAGTTAAAACTATCAGTTTTATGTTGGCAAAATTTGGGTCATGTATATATATGATACATATTTAAATGTGTTAGGGTCATTATTTATTAAGCCAAATAATAAAATGATCTGACTAAGTTAAAAAGGTTTGGCTAAAGGCATATGTCATGAAAATAAAATTGTGTAGAGACCATAGAGCAATTTCTAATTTGATGAGGGGCCAAATTGGAAATACTAAAACTTAAGTAATTAACCTAATTTTGGTTATTTTAAGGGGTCATGGTCCCCTTCTGGGAGCACGTAGACAAAACATAGTTACAGTCCCGTTCTTTTCTTTCTATCCCCATCAAGAGAGAAAATCTAAAGGGAAATACAGGTGCTCTCTAGGTGGAAGACCATAAGATCAATAGTGCTCTAAAAGGGACATCATCATTATGGCAAATTCAGGTACGCTTTCGCATTCAGTTTACAATATGTTTGTCAGTATGAGATTACATTTATATTTGATCGTTAGAATGAAGATCATAATTAATTACAGTTTATCTATCAAGTGGTATCAGAGCCACCCATACATGATTCATGTTTGTATTTCGTAAATTAAATTTAAGAATTCAAAACCCTAATCTCAAATTTTCATAAACCCTAAATTAAAATTTGGGGTTAAATATCCTGGTTGTCTTTTCGCTTCATAACCACCAAACAATACAACCTTAGTCTTCCACAAGGTGAGATGCACGTAGAGAACCTTGAATCGTCCACGAGGGTTTCGGTGACGTTATTAGGTTTGTTGGCATTGTAACCAATTTTGTTTTTGGAGATTTGAGTGAGGGGTTAGGAAAATTCAGGATTTGGCCAAGAGAGGGTTTTCCGGAGTTCGAATTGGAAGGGTTTGTTGCTGCGGAGGGTAATGGTGGTGCGGCTGAGGGAGCAGCGACACGGGCCGCGATGCAGTGGTGGTTGTAGCGGCGGCGTGTTCCAACAAACATGGTGTAAAAAAAAAAGTGAAAACCATGCTTCAGCTAAACAACATTGAGAAAAAAAAAACCGAGCAGATTCACGATTAGCGATTAGCGATTTGCATTGGCCACAGATTGATTAATTAATTAATTAATTTCCCTTGCGAAATTGGGATTCTTCACCAGCATGATCCTTGGTATCGGCATTGGTATCGTATTGATAGTCGCTTTTGCTCGTCACGAGAACGTTCGATCCAAGCATCGCTCCGATTTGGCGAAGACGATAGCAGAGTTTGCGAGGATGACGATGGAAGATTCCAGAAAACTTTTGCCTTCTAAGTTCTATCCATCATGGGTGGTCTTCACTAAGAGACAGAAGTTAAATTGGCTTAATTCCCAACTCAGGAGGATTTGGTCACACGTTGATGAGGCAGCGTCAGAATTGATAAGAACCATTGTGGAACCAATTCTTGAACAATATAGGCCGATTATTTTGTCTTCTCTCACATTCTCCAAGTTGACCCTTGGCACTGTGGCTCCATAATTTACAGGAGTTACAATTGTTGAAGAGCACAGTGGGCCTGATGGGGTGACTATGGATCTTGAGATGCAATGGGATGGTAACCCGAATATCGTTCTTGACATTAAAACCTGAGTTGGTGTTGGACTTCCTGTACAAGTAAAAGATATTGGATTCAATGGGGTTTTCAGGTTGATCTTCAAACCACTAGTGAATGATTTCCCTGGTTTTGGAGCTGTTTGTTTTTCCTTGAAAGAAAAGAAAGATTTGGATTTTACTCTGAAGGCTATTAGGGGTGATTTATCAGCTTTACCGGGGATATCTGATGCTATAGAGGAAACAATTAAAGATGCGATTGAAGACTCTATAACTTGGCCTGTACGCCAAATTATACCAATTTTACCGGGGATTACTTGTTTTATGAATGGCGAGTGGTGGATTCCGTGCCATTATAATTTTTTTTATATAAATAAATAATATATAAATTTGGTTTAGGATTACCCTTATTAATATATTCAATTTGTTTGGTAGTTTAATATTTTTGTGAGCAAATTGAGTCAAGAAGTTACCAAAGTAACATCTCTTGAATTGGGTAGTTCGTGAAAAATATTAAATGTTAGTGTTTCTGTATATTCATGCGAGTATTAATCGGCCCAAAGGAAGATTAATATTTGGCCGAATTACATACACACCTGTAATGATAAACATGTGATAATTATAAGGATTTGCTTTGTCAATGATAAATCAATCCAAAGACTGGTTTGTTGTTGGATGTGCTTTATTGTCAATGTTTGATTATTACAACAAGATACCTCTAGCAGTTAATATTACTGTCCAAAGACTTGATATTGATGGTGCATTGGGTGTCTTGAGATGGGTTAAACCATTATTTGAATATATATTTTATTTATAATTATTTAATTTTATAATTGAGCATAATTAATTTATCTCTTTTGTTCTTAATTCATCTACAATTGCTTCTGTATCTGCCAATTTAAATTCTGTTTCGGTCCTCAATGGAACAAATTTTAAGGACTGGAAAGAGAACATTGATATTATTCTTGGCTGCATGGATATGGATCTTGCGTTAAGGACTGAGCAACCCCCTGTTCCTACGGATTCAAGTACCTCTGAACAGAAAAGAGATTATGAGAAGTGAGATCTCTCAAATCGCATGAGTCTAATGATCATTAAGCACGACATCCCGGAGGTGTTTAGGGGCACTATTTCTGAAAACATCACAAGTGCCAAAGAGTTCCTTGCTGAAATTGAGCAGTGCTTTGCAAAAAGTGATAAGGCGGAGGCAAGCACTCTTCTTCAGAACTTGATCTCCATGAAATATCAGGGCAAAGGAAATATCAGGGAGTACATTATGAGCATGTCTAATATTGTTTTTAAACTCAAGGCACTAAAGCTTGAACTCTCAGAAGACTTGCTCATTCATTTGGTATTGATTTCTCTTCCCACAACGTTTAATCAGTTTAAGGTATCTTACAACTGTCAGAAGGATAAATGGTCCCTTAATGAACTCATTTCACATTGTGTACAAGAAGAAGAAAGGCTAAAGCAAGATAAGATAGAAAGTGCTCATTTTGCAAGCACCTCTAAGGCTAAAGGCAAAAGAAAGAGATCGGAGGATCCCAAGAAGGAAGCTGCTAAAGGTCCAGAACAAAAGAAACAAACTCAAGAAAACAAATGTTTCTTTTGCAATAAGACTGGACACGTAAAGAAGCAATGTGCTAAATATCATGCTTGGCGTGAAAAGAAAGGGTTGCCTAAACTACCGGAAGCCAACTGATTCTGAAAGATGGATATACGTTGAAAACGACAAATCGGTGGAGATGGAGACTATTGGACATTTTAGATTATTATTGTGTACTAATTTTTTATTTATTTTAGATTTAAAAGATTTTTTTTGTCGTGCCGTCTTTTAGACGAAATTTGGTTTCAGTTTCTTATTTGGACAAATTAGGTTATTTGTGTTTATTTGGAAACAATGAGTTCAATTTGTCTTTTAATTCAGATATTGTTAGAATTTGTTCACTTTTGGCTCATGATAATCTATATTTACTTAATATTGTGGTCACCTATAATGAAACTCTTAATACAAAAAATCTCGTGGTATTAAACTAAAATTGGACTCCCGAACAGTAAGTAGTTACTTCATTGGTTATTCTGAAAGAGCCAGGGGATATAAATTTTATGATCCCACATTAAAGACAATTTTTAAGATGGGAACTGTTATGTTCTTTGAGGATATTGAGTTTGGGGGGAAGAGTAAGATTAAGAATTTTGTATTGGAGGAAGAATCGACAATAAATCCAGAATCGATTCAAACAGTTATTTTTGATAAAGTAAGTTCGGAACCTCCACAAGACATTGAAGATAAACCCCATATTCAAGATGTTTTGATTGTTCGTCAAGACCAAACTCAAGATCCTCAAGAACTTGTGCGTCATGAGCCGAGGATACTCCAGTTACTAAGGAAGAAAAGTTTAGTCTAAATAAGTGCCCAAAGGGGAATTTGGAAATTGAGGAAATGCAACAGATTCCCCATGCATCAACTATCGGGAGTTTGATGTATTCCCAAATATGTACGCATCCATACATAACATACATAGTTGGGGTTCTAGGCAGATATTTAAGCAATTCAGGAATAGACCATTGGAAAGCAGCAAAAAGGGTCATAAGATATTTAAGAGAACAAAAGATTATATGCTCACATATAGGAGGTCAGACCAGTTGGAGATCGCTGGGTTTTCTGACTCAGATTTTGCAGGATGTCAAGAATTTGTAGCATGCTATGAGGCATCAAATCATGGAATATGGCTGAGAAATTTTGTCACAGGGCTGCAAATTGTGAAAGACATTGAAAGACCACTTAAGTTATATTGTGACAATAAATCAGCTGTATTGTTAAGGAAAAAGTACAAAGTGGACAGATTTCCATAGAACACTTAAAGACAAACTCCATGATAGCATATCCTCTAACTAAAGGACTTCCGCCCAAGGTCTTTCATGAGCATGTTGCTCACATGGGTGTTTTACAATTTGAGGAATTTATGGTTTAGTGGGAGTTAGTCACTTTCATATATTTTATGTTCTATGTTTAATTTCATATATGTATACATTGATTTTTGGACATATTTGGTTATCTATAGATATGCGATTTTTTCGTTCATTCATTACACTTTGTACATTAAGGATATTATATCGATTTCGATAAGTTAAAGTTTGGACCAGTTGAAAATAGACGTGTACAGATCACCTTCATGTAATTTTCATGCTACACATTTCATGATGAATCCATGTCATTTGATTATGTTAGGATGTGTAATCATTGTTGGTTTTAATTGCGATGATGCAATGAAAAGCTGCTTTGGTTCTATATCCTGATATGATTAATGGACTGGACTTTTAGAATATGCTAAAGGAATATAATGGCAATTTTGAGCTCATAAAGTCTAACACATTTATAAGGTTGTAGGGCATATATATTTGTGACCAGTGGGAGATTGTTGACAAAATTTGGGTCATGTATATATATGATACATATTTAAATGTGTTAGGGTCATTATTTATTAAGCCAAATAATAAAGTGATCTGACTAAGTTAAAAAGGTTTGGCTAAAGGCATATGTCATGAAAATAAAATTGTGTAGAGACCATAGAACAATTTCTAATTTGATGAGGGGCCAAATTAGAAATACTAAAACTTAAGTAATTAACCTAATTTTGGTTATTTTAAGGGGTCATGGTCCCCTTCTGGGAGCACGTAGACAAAACGTAGTTACAGTCCCGTTCTTTTCTTTCTATCCCCATCAAGAGAGAAAATCCAAAGGGAAATACAGGTGCTCTCCAGGTGGAAGACCATAAGATCAATAGTGCTCTAAAAGGGACATCATCATCATGGCAAATTCAGGTACGCTTTCGCATTCAGTTTACAATATGTTTGTCAGTATGAGATTACATTTATATTTGATCGTTAGAATGAAGATCATAATTAATTACAGTTTATCTATCATTTTATGCTATTTGTTTCAATTTGGGGTTTCTAATTAAAAACTAAAATAGCTAATATCATATAAAGATAGTTAATCAAAGTTCAGTCATTATTACAAACCATAATGTAGAATAAAAGTAATGAAAAATAAGAAAAACCATGAAACAAAAACTTTAAAAAGAAGATGGAAAGGACCTTTCTTGATGAAACTTAATCATCCCAATTTCCCTGGTTCAGCTGCATATCTTCCAGTTTGGTGTAAATATCAGCAATTTGATTTCCCAAGTTGGTGAATTGTGTGTTGGTCTGTTGGAAGTGCTGATAGGTCATTTGCATATGTTTCCTTTGATTTTCTTGCATTGTGGCCATTTGAGAAAGCATGGTTCTTTCAAACTGTGAGAGAGGAGATCCACGGTCAGGTTGCTCCATGTATGGTATAATCTCCATGTTTTCATAGGAAGCTTGACCACCAGTGGATTCAGGAACCTCTGCAGTAGTTGGAGAATAAGAAATTTGACCTTGATTATCTTCTTCTTCATCTTCTTCCTCATCTTCAGACATCCCAACATCAATCTTAGAGATCCACTCTCCATCAATTTTGATAAATCCCATCTTCCGCAAAGTGGAATCATCAATATTATTGGGGGCCTTTGGAATTTTCACATATTTCCCTGCAAGATCTACTTCAAAGTATTTAAAAAATTGATTAATCAGCATAACATATGGTAGTTTATAATCAGCGAATCGTTTTGCGTTTATCATATGATCCTTGATAACAAAAATCCAATTTACACGAATATTATTTTCAATGCAATACATAAGAGCAAAATCACCCTCATTAATGCATGATTACTCCCTCTTGGAGTAAGCATCCATGCAATGATAAAATCTAGAATCCTTGGTTCAAGCTCCATTTTCCCAGTGTTAAGAGTTCTTACAGAATCATTCTGATTTTTGAGACAGTTGCAAAAAAATTGAATTTTGTTAAAATCAGGTAACTTTGCAATGTTACCTCTAGATACCTTTACACCAACATCAAGAAGACCAGCCACTTCTTCCCACACCTCAGGAGTGATCACCAAATTAATACCTTTGACCTGACACCTAAGAGTAGAGTCGTTGACAGTAGGGTTGGCATAAAATACCCTTACTAGATCAGGTTGAATATTGCTAGTGTGCTCCAGAAAAGTTCTTAACTTTTGTCTTTTTAATTTCCTTCTCAAAGAGGTAAAGCCTTCTTCATCCAACCAAGCAAACTTAATATACTTTGGAATTACCAGTTGCTTTTGGCTGAAGTTGGAAATAAAGTTGTTCATTTTGTCAATGTCTCCATTGAACGATGCTTCAATATGTCCTCCAGCTTGGCCAGCAGCAGA